ATATATATATATATATATATGATTTTTTTGTTTGATGTGCAGCATTATCACAAGAGACACCAAGCTTTATTACAGCTTTCCAGAGTTCTGAATAAATTTAAACTTTTGTCAGAAGATACAGGCAACATTTCCAAGGTAATCACTTCCTAAAATCTACAAAAACAAGATTTTAACCCCCCTGTGGCTACCACCTACTGGAGGTCTCCTTTTATCTCGTTTCTGCAGAAGAAGTCCAGTTTGGCATGAAGTCTTGTGCAGATGAACAAAGTTTCAACTTCGTTTAAATGTGCTCATCGCAAACTGTGAAATCAAACCTAAACACGCTCATCCTGAATTACACCTGAACCATGATGGTGCTGTTTGACAGAGTTTATCCTACTAGTTTTTCAGATGTGTTGATGTGCAATTTTGAAATGTGGGTCTGCACTCAATGTAAACAAAGCACTTATATCTGAGTGCTTCACTCAACGAGTCTAATTTTTTTAATCTTAAATATGTTTTCAATAGATGTCGGCCTTCTTGACCTTTAGTCACTTGGGCTGTTTCTGCAGGCAAACAAACATGGCAGCTAGAATGAATGTTTGCTTGAAAGCTTTAATTTTAAATACACATCAACATGAGAAAAAAATCGTTTCCTACTTTATTATTATTAATAATTTTCATAAGAAACAGAGCAAATAATAAATGTGTTGATGACTTTTGCAGGGATTAACTGCAGGAGCATTTCTGAACATACAACGTTTTGGTTCATCTAATAATGCAGATTTGAAAACAAAAGCTCATTTGTGTTTAAAATAACTTATTCTTTCAGATTAGAGTCCATAAATCACCCATCACTGCCCCGCTCCCCCCAAAAAACCCACTAAAATCCACTAATTTATTGCATCATTAGGGGCTAAAAAATGAATCTGATCAACTTAAACCTGGAGAAACAAATGTGGAAATGCACAATTCGACCACGTTACGTGAGAACGACATTCATGATATTATTTCAAACTATTTCATGGCATCTTTAAAGTTTCTTGTTACTCTCGAGGAGCAGCTGGAGAACAACAGCAGGGTGAATGTCAGGACCAGTGGTCCTCCTCTCTGTGGGCACCAGGACTTATTGATGGAGGAGTGACAGCTCTTTGTTGGTGAAAAAAAAAAGAAAAGAAAAAAATCAGTGGTGATGCTGAGAGCGAGGGGGGGGAGGGGGGGGAGAGAGAGTGAGAGAGTCAGTCAGAGAGAGAGAGAGAGAGAGAGAGAAAGAGAGAGAGAGAGGGACTCCTCCTCCCACATTATTCAGACTGGGCCGGCTCTGCTCTCCTCACAAATAGGACACGGTTCTCAAATCCAGGCAGTCCCAACCTGACCTCCAAGCACCGAGGAACCCCCCCTCCCTCTTTCTCCTCCTCCTCCCCCTATCCGGGAGAGTCTGGAGAGAGAAAACAGAAAAAGGAAAGAGAGAGAGAGAGAAAGAAAGAGAGAGGAGCAAAACTTTGTGTCATTATTTTTTGGCTTGCTATCTCTCCTCCCTCCCCTCATCCCTTCTTCCACCGTTTTGTCGCCTCATTTGGACTATTCTTGTTTTTTTTGTTTTTTTTACTTTTTTTTTTTTTTTTTCTTGGAGGAGAGACGTTCACGGGAAGCAGGACAAAGCTGTCCCACCCATGCTGCACAGTTTCTCCTTTTCCCCGCGGAGGAGGTGCTCTGACTGTCAGCGGCTGATTTGATTGTGTTTTCCTCTCCTTGTGTGCGTCTCGTGGCCAGAGCCCCCCCCACCCCCCCAACCCCCCAGATGCGCTGAGGGTATATGGAAGTTGTGAGCTGCAAGACAGAGGCAGGCAGTTGCACGTTGTGTCCAGGAGCTCCGGGAGCCATGCTCTTCCACGGGATCTCCGGGGACCACATCCAGGGCATCATGGAGGAGATGGAGAGGAGGTCCAAGTCGGAGTCGCGCCTGGCGAAGGGCATGCAGCTGAACGGGAGAGAGTCGGTAAGATCCAGGCGGAAACGGGTCGGAACCAGGGTCCAAATTCTGTTCAGAACCCTCCAAACATTAAACCTGGAGGAGGATTTCTACTGAACGGAAATTCGTTTTTATTTGTTAAAAATGAAGTCTGAATATTTCAATTTGTATAAATATTCAGCCAAAGAAAGTCCTAAAAATATTTTTGTATTAATCTTGTCATAAACACCTTAATAAATAAAAAGTTAAATACATTTTAACGTGGAAATCCACGATAATAATAATAATAATTATTATTATTATTATACCCGCTATTCGAATAAATTAAATGCATGTTGTTGTTATTAAATGGCAATAATTATTTTAAGAAAAAGTTTAAATATGAGCTTTTTTAAAATTTAAAAATACTAATAAATGCCTCAAAATATAATTTCGCGGCCTAGCTGTGTATTTTATAAATGCATACTCATTTAATATTTAAGATATAAACAGATGCTGTTGTTTTTTCTTTAAGCAGTTTTTTGGATGCAGCCTTCAGCTTGTTTCTGTTCTCCTCCCCCCTCTCCGTCTCAGACCATGCCCTCCATGAGCCCGGAGAAGCCTGCCTTGTGTGCCGGCTGTGGGGGGAAGATCTCGGACAGATATTACCTCCTGGCCGTGGACAAACAGTGGCACCTGCGGTGCCTCAAGTGCTGTGAATGTAAACTGGCGCTGGAGTCCGAGCTCACGTGCTTTGCCAAGGATGGGAGCATTTACTGCAAGGAGGATTACTACAGGTAAGAACAATTATAGTCATGCAACTCTTTAAATATATATATAGCTGCTGCCCAGTAGGCCATGTTATTGTACGAGGAAGAAAAATGTATTTTGACAGCTTAAAAAATATATTTTGGTCATAATTCTGTCGGTCCTGATGGCTCAGGCTGTGCCAGGCCTTTACTTTTGTTTTATTCATGTGAATAAATTTCATCAATGTGCGCTGCATGTGTTTTAGGATGAAGTTAGATCCAGATTATTGGATTTTTGCAGAGCTGGAATAATCTGCTGCTCTGAATGGACATTTAAACTTTAAAACACCTGGATTAATTTTGTTTTATTTGTTTTATTATTTGGTGTGGGGTGCTTTGTTTATTTTTTGTGCCAGTGCATTTTAATTTTTTTTTCTGTGTTTCACATCAGCATGCTATTTTTTTTTTTAAATAAACCCGAGTAATCAAATAGTTAATATTTACTCTTTTTATATTCTGAGACTATTTTAGCATTTAATAAGTCAGAACTTGTGTTCTTATTATTTTTCCACACACATCAGGCTCAGGTTCAGTCCAGATGTGGCTATTAGCAGAATAAAGGATCAAAGCGGTCCTGGCCTCGTGCGTTTATTCTGTGCACGCGCTAAACACTCCCGTGCGCTTGGCTAAATCTAGTGGACGTGTTCGTGTTTTCTCGGATAACTGACTGTGCGTCTGTTCCAGAAGGTTCTCCGTGCAGAGGTGCGCGCGCTGCCACCTCGGGATTTCGGCCTCGGAGATGGTGATGCGAGCGCGCGACTCCGTGTACCACCTGAGCTGCTTCACGTGCACCACGTGCAACAAGACCCTGACCACGGGCGACCACTTCGGCATGAAGGACAGCCTGGTGTACTGCCGGCTCCACTTCGAGACGCTGCTGCAGGGCCCGGACTATCACCCGCAGCTCAACTTCGCCGAGCTCGCGGCCAAGGGCGGCGGCCTCGCGCTGCCTTACTTCAACGGGACGGGCACGGCGCAGAAGGGGAGGCCCAGGAAGAGGAAGAGCCCGGCCATGGGGATAGATATACCCAGCTACAACACAGGTACACACACGCACACACACACACACACACAGGAAATGGCAAATAAAAAGCGGCTCTGACTCAGGTTTGAGATTTTTGGAGAAAATAAAGTGTTTGACCCTTAAAGTGTTTGGACTGGCCCACCCAACTGTACAGGGCAGCTAAAAAATCCAACGAATGGAAATAACTCCTGTGTCCTACATCAACACCCTCACAGAGGAGACACTTTATTGGCTTTTGAAAGTATTTTGCAAATATTCTCTGTTGTGGACCTCATTAAAACCATCCGTGACCTCAGACTAACTGCTGACTAAACACTCTCTAAACACTTTATTTTTTTTAAAGTACACTAGCATAAATAAATAAATAAATAAATAAATAGCCTTTTTTTGGGGTTTGGTGTAAAAGTTTCTTCCATTACGCATGGGATTCTCTCTCTCTCTCTCTAATCACCGCTATAATCTCTGTCCTTTATACATTTTAAAACTAATTTATTTGCTATTTGGGCCTTTGTTTGTATTTATTTATTTTATTGCGTTTTGGTTTTGTTATTGATCTGCACCATGTCCATGCGTATTTTACGCACCGTTTCCACTTTGTGTGTGTGTGTGTGTGTCACACAGTGTGTGAGAGAGAGAGTTTGGGTCAATGACTGCAGCTTGGTGCGTAAAGGCGGTGTTGTCCGCGTGCGTTTGCACCTTTATTGCTAGTCGACCGAATACAAAACTCCCAGTTTCTTTAAAAAAAAACATTATTTACGTGTTTTTACTCACGGTGTTACCAGCTGACCCCCCCACCCCATCTCTCATCACCACCGCCCCCGCAGCGGCCTCGTTTTGCTGTCGCTTTTTGCGCATTAGTGCGCGGTTGAGGGAGTCTGTCATTGTGCGCCAAGTTTCCTCTTGTGCTGCTGCATGGGGGGAGGAATAGGGGTAATCTGCGCGTTAATTGTTCTCTGTTAATTGAAGGTGACGTTGGAATCTCGTGGCCTCCCGCGCGGCGGTCAGCTAGGTTCTCAGGGACACTCGGGGTGGGGGTGGGGGGGTCCAGAGAACCGTGGGCGGAAAACGCAAAAAAATAAAATAAAATAAAAATAAAATAAAAAATGCTCCCATGGAGAGCTTTGGTTTGTTATTTAGAAAACACAAACATGACGGATTATGCTCATCCCAAAGTGTTTACTGGTGCCTTTGATCGGAAAACAGCTGGATTAAAAGAAAACTCTTTGAAATGAAACGAAAAAACAAACAAAACAACAAAATTAAAATAAAGCAACAAGTTTTATTGAGAGGAGAGATACAGTTAAACTCCACATTAAGCACAACAGATACAGTGAGGAGTCCAGGGGGGAAGTTGTTTCTTCATTTGGGACAGAAAAGCATCTGGAACAAAAATCCATTCAAATTAGAGAAATTAAAACTCCCTTTTTTTTTTTTTTTTTTTTTCCAGTTATGCCTTGGCCTTGATTATAGCTGGTTTAAGACACGCCTGTCAGATCAGGAGGCTCAGATTCATGGGAGGAGGTTTTGGTTCAGTTTTTGTTCGTGTTTCAGCTGAGGACCCACTTTTCACCAGAGGAAGGTGTGGGTCTGCTGAAAGCACGTGGAGACACCTAGTGGGTGTTTCTGAGTTCAACAAGATCCAGTGGAGATGAGCAAACAATCAGTGTTCGGTTATTTCCACAGATTTAATGGAAAATCTGTGATTTTCTGACCAGACAGATGTTTGTTTGAATATTTTCATCCCCATCCTGATAATGAAGCATTCAAATATTAATTTTCATATGAGCTATTTTGATAAAAACAAGTTGTCAGCATTTTTTTTTTTAAATGCACATTCATAAAGTTTAGAATAATACAACTTTGTTTTGCTTTTGCATCTAATAAATTGCACACATATTTATCTAAAAATATCCATCTTTCCCCAAACATCTAAAAGGAATCAAGTCTTGATTATAAATTTTGATTTATGGTCATTTTTAGGATTTTTTAAAATCTTAAACAGGATTTTTTTTTTTTTTTGTGGCACCAGTCAAAAAATAAAACAACATCAAGTTAAACTAAAACTATTAAAACTGTGCATTTCTTTTCTTCCTCTCAGTGATTAATGTTCGAGCATCTGCGTGCCGGTTAGCCAAGCATGCAGTCCATTTAACGAATCCACTTTCAGTGTTTTACACTCAAAGCTGCTGACAAATGAGGTCCATTAGGCCTTTTAGTCCCTGCAAACACAGACAGAAGGATATGGTGCCAGTGCCAGTTGGAGTTTATTATTTATTATTTAAAACAGCTCCACAAATCCTGATTATTTTATTCATTTAAACCAGTTAAATACATTTTTTTTGGACATTTGTTGCTGCATATTGTGAGTTACAAACCCAGCCATTAAAACGGACACAGATTCATTTAATTAAATATTGGTGCCCTTTAAAATCCAGCCCAAAAGAAGGCATTTAAAAAAACTCTGAAATTAGTGTGACATGTGTCGAAATAAACCTGAACATAGACAACACTTAAGTGCATCTCCTTTGAGTGTCTTTCAGTCGTTCCTTTTGTTTTTTTAAAATCCAACCCGACGTTCTGCTCTTTGTTCTCTCTGCAGGCTGCAATGAGAACGACACGGACCACTTGGACCGGGACCAGCAGTCCTACGCTCCAACACAGAAGACCAAACGCATGCGGACCTCCTTCAAGCACCATCAGCTGCGGACAATGAAATCCTACTTCGCCATCAACCACAACCCGGATGCCAAGGACTTAAAGCAGCTGGCCCAGAAAACGGGCCTCACTAAACGAGTTCTACAGGTAAGCATGCTTCCTCTAACTGATGTGTGTCTCCATCCCACCCCTCCTCCACGTCCCCCTCGTTTCACGTCACCAACCTCATCTTTTCAGTTGATTTCTGTTTCCATGATGTCATTAGATGTAGATCCAGGGGCTTTTATCTGAAATTTGTGTAATCTTAAATATAAATTTCTTTAGAAAACCAAAGCAAATCTAAGCTAAAATATGTGATATTATTAAACCTGTTGAGCTCTCTCTTTTAAAAAATTAATTTAATTTGTTTTTTTTGTTTTTTTAATTTGTTTGTTTCCTACTAAAGTCCACAGTTTTGTTTTTAATGTTGAGGAACCAAAGGGCTCACGAGTTCCAATCAGTGTGTGAAACTGATCATTTTTTAAAGTTTGATGTAAGGATGAGGGAAGCCATAGCTGTAATCGTTTGAAATGTAAACGTTTGTACACATGATTTGGTACTTTTCTTTTTAAAGCGTTAATCGAACACTAAAGTAAAAGCCACATTGGGATTGGTTTGCAGGTTTGGTTCCAAAACGCAAGAGCCAAATTCAGAAGGAACGTTTTGCGACAGGAGAATGGAGGTGTTGATAAGGCTGATGGCACCTCACTCCCTCCGCCCTCATCCGACAGTGGGGCCCTGACCCCCCCCTCCAGCGCGGCCACACTAACAGACCTGACAAACCCCTCTATCACTGTAGTGACCTCCGTCACCTCTAGTTTGGACAGCCATGATTCGGGGAGCCCCTCACAAACTACCTTGACAAACCTTTTCTAACAAGCTATCTCTATCAGACTGATTGTTATTTGAGTTTTTCCTCCTCTTTTTGTTCCTGATTTTCTTTTCGTTCCTTTTCTCAATTTACACTTTATTTTTTTAAATGACACCTTTAAAATCAAGCGGCGACAGCTCCTGGGGGGGGAAAAGAAAAGTGCTGTACTTTGAACAAGAGCAACAGGAGCACCGACAGCAGCGACCGCTTTAAAATACGAGGAACCCATTCGAATACGTAGCATTTGAAGCTGCATGGCACGTGCAGAGATCGATTCTGGATCCTTGGACATTTCTCGGAGTTAAAGAGATTAGAAAATTGTCTTCACGAATCGTTTAGAAGGAAAAAAAATTAACAAATATTGCCTGCAAAACAAGAACATTTGCCTGATTTGACTTTTTTTTTTTTTTGTACATTTGTATTGAAATATGTTCAAACAAAGCCCTCCTTAATTTATAATCATTGGAAAAGAAATTCAAACATGTATATGTATGCACTGTGTTCGCACTATCCAATTTAAAGATCCTCGTTTTTGTTCTGCTTTGGAATAATTTGGGAAACAAACTCGCAGAATGTTCTGTTGAAAACAGGCTTTAATTATTTCCGAATGTCTCGGTCTGAGTTTGGTGGAATCGGACATTTTCACAGAGCTACATGGAAAACAAATCTGACAAATAAAGACCCAGAGAAGCTGAAACCTTTAGATTCACAACTCTAACTGTGACGCAGCGAAAGAAGCACCGTTTGATGAGGAGAAATCCAGATCAGAGAGCAGTTCATGGGCACTGTCGTAATCAAACGTCTTCACCTCAGAGCACTTTTTATTTGGACTCGTGGATAAAAAGAACTAAAACCTGGTAAACGCTTCCACAGATCAGTCGCACAGTGACAATTTACTGCCCAGAGAAAAGTGCATTATTGTTCCTATCATGTTGCTCAGGGTGAATTTTTTTAAATAGGGGTAAACGAAAAGAAGTGGTTGAGAAGCTGCAGACAGAGTAGCTACCAAACAGTCCAATGACCTCAGATAGGTGGAGTCGGGAGGGGGGAATCATCGTCCATGTCCTGTTTGGCCATATTTACACTTTCTTTCCCAACAATTACCACCGATCAGACCAAAATAAAAAAATAAAATAAAAAGCAGTTTAATCTGGCTGACAGATGGAGAGAAAAGAGAGCGAGCAAATTAACGGAGTCGATACATTTCATTGTGAGCGTCACAATTTGTTCTCCTGTGGGACAAAGTGGTTCTCCTGCTCTACTTCATGAAGTAGACGCCTATAACTCAGTTCTACCATGTGCCTTATGCTATAACTTGGGAGAAAGTTTGTGAAATTCAGGATCTATGTGTTCTTTGTTAACTGATTCACATCCCTTTTGGCGCCTCACTAGTTTTGTACTGTTTTTGCATCTTATTTCCGAAGATCTTTTTATGGTGTAACCTGTTAAAAAATAAAATTAAATTTAAAAAAGGCAAAGGGGGAGGGCGGGGCAGCGATGTCATAGAAAGCATTTGTGCACTCTTTCAGATATAGTTGGGTAATCCAAGAACCTTATATATTGATCTTCGTGTTAATAGTTGAGTACAGTAAGTGTTCTATCAAGATTGTCCATGTTTCCCTGTTTCTTGATAAAGATGGTGTATAGAAACTATTTCCCCTTAAATATTTATGGACCAAACGGTTGTTATATATCTTATTAAATTTGTGTGAATAAAAAAAAAATACTTTGCTTTAAATGGGTTTTTATTTTTCATTGCCATTTTTATTTTTATTTTTTTGCGTTCTTTCTCCAATGCAAGTTTTGTTTATCGCATCAGTAAATTGAGGGAGCATTCAGTTATTAACGACAGGCTAAATGTTCATTTCTTTTTGCCTCCATTTTTTCCCCCTATTTCCTAATTTATGATGTTTATGGTTTGTAACGTAATGCCCCATGGATTTGCATCTAAACCCTGCAGTGAGAAACATGAAATTGCTTTGTAATGCATGAACATGGCTTTAAATTTTCAATAAAAGGAATGCTGCAAAGCACATATTGATGCATATTTAGCGTATATTTATGCATAATCGTATTGGTAAATCTAAAATGAAGTAAGAATAAATGCAGACCCCGTAAAGCCAGGTTGCTCTGTAGTTAATATATTCTTACTCTATCGTTTCTTTCAGGGAGAACAAATCTTGGGGCATTACAGCCATACATCCCGACGTTTGAAAATTCCCTAAAGTATTAAGAGAAGGGGAAAACTTTGATGGGAATTCCTCACCATTGAAGACAAAGACAATATTAGGATAAGACGATAGCATATTGAGAACAAATAAGCAACATAAATCCTGTTTAAGTTGCAACTGTACAACAAATGATTTTTTTTTTCTTCCTCTTTTTGAACTAAAATTTGTCCTGAATATTTGAACCCATCAGCAAAGGAGACACAATGTAAGATATTTATGCTATCGATGTGAAAATTTTAATCTGTATTGGAGTTGTAAATGGACAAAAACATAACAAAATGTCTTGTGACGTATTAAAAACACAGAAAGGATGTGATTGAACATCAGCATTCAAGATGGTGAAACTGATGGATATTATTGGTATGAACACACACACCTCATACTAGAAGCACAAAATATACATCCCTGTAACAAACACACACGCACACATAAAATGAAATCCACACCAATGCTGCCCCCCTCCCCACCACCACCCCAGAATCATCTAGTTTTCTCTTGTCGCGAGTGTCGTTCCGTAAAACACATGGCCTCCTTGAAACTCGGCAGCAGGATGCCCATCACACGTGATGAGTGTATGAAGAGGACTGCAGAGCTGGAGCTTTGCCATCTGGTTGGGAAGGAAGTTAAAAAAAAGAAGAAGAAGAAATTAAAAAAAATATATATAAGAATAATCAGCGGATAAAGAAGAGATTCTCATTTTGCATGCCCGTCTACATCTTGTTAACATTTGCCTTGAGGTGTATATTATTTCCTTTTGATTCGCTGTGATTTACTGTCTGCTGCAAAAAAATATATAAAAAAATAAAGCACATGAATTATATCCCTCAAAAAGGAAGAAAAATGCCATTGTGTGGACAAACACCGCTTCAAGCTTTGTTCTTGACATTCAGCTGACTGTAAATGGTGACGCCTTACTGGTTTCCCAGCTTTTTATCGTGGATATTTGTGAAAAAACAGTAAATCTCTAGTGAGTCATTCCTGAATTTTGGATTCCTGCTTCCAGATGCCACGTTATATGTTCCGTTTGGCTCCTTTTCTTTTTCAGCACTTTGGTTGCAACTCGAAAAGTCAATTGAAATGAAAGTCATGTGACTGGAAACGTAACTGTTTTTTTTTTTTTGTAATAAAGGTTAAAAATAACCAGCTGTTGATTTGAGCGTGATGTGGGGTGTAGGTGGGATAAAGGGAGGTTTATGGGACACATATAGATGTGAAACTGGGTGTGCATAATGTAAAAGAAATACAAGTGTTGAAGGAGTAAAGAAAGTGGGGAAAAGGAGGAGAGAGAGAGAGAGCGGGGACACTGAAGCCACACGGGGACCAGTAAACAGGCCAGTGTTGAATTCCAACAATGTGGGAAACAGCAAACTTCAGTCAGTCCAACAGAAAGCCTCAGCCGCTCGGGTGCTGTGCTCATGTGGCAGCAGACCAGTGTTCCTCAGGTCTGATGGGAGGAAGGTGGGCAGGTTGACACCACAGAGCTACTGGAAGCCCAGACGGAGCACCAACACAAACAAACACAGCCCCGCTCACTTTTGGAGCTGCCGTGTGGAAATTCTGGACACGACTCCACACTGACAGGAAATTCAGGCCTTTGGGCTGGAATGCATCTTATCTGCAAACATTTACATTTCTGCAGCTGTGCATTTTATATAAAGAAAAGATAGCTGTGTGCAGAACACAGTGCTTTGGTCCATCAACTCAAATAAGTAAATCATTCCAGGTGTTTGACTGACACAAGATGCAATAATCCTACGACGAGCACAATATTATGTTTGCAGCAACAGGTAAGAAAGCAGGCCTTCTGCCAGCTGACACCCTCCTCTTCCTCTCTTATCTCTTCCTCCTGTTACAGTAAATGACAGCTGTGCACTCTACAACAATGCTGACAACACAGCAGACTTGCTGTCACACAAGGAGTTTATTCATAAAACTTGGGTGATCCTGACATATGTGAAAGAAAAAAAAAAAAAGAAAACTTCATCAATTCAAATTCAGCTTGAATCTATTCAGACTTAGAGCAGAAGTTTGTCCGTAATCAGAAGTGATGCGCGATCAGACGAAGCAGGTGGGACTTTAACTTGAGTTCTGGCTCATTTAAATAACGAAACAAAATGAAGGCATGTTAAATATTTCTAACGTCTTGACAGGAAAACAAACGACTTACAGGAAGTTTGAGTTGGTTTGCAGCATTCGAGGCATCAGTTTTAGCAATAAACATATATTTTTTTGTGATTTGGATCAGATTTTTTAATATTTATACATGTTAATACCATTAGTTTATGCAAGTTGATGCTAGTTTATTAGCATTTTAGCTTTAAACCTGCTAAAAACAGCAACATTTAATGCTGTATTTTCATGCTTTGGGAAAACGCTACATAAAGAAGTCAAACAAAAGCTAAAAAAAAAGCAAGATTTATGAAAATTTTTATGCTTTCCAGTTGTTTTTAATGCATTATAGTCATTCTCTGCATGCAGAAACTTATTCATGGTGAATCGTAAGAAACAAAAAAAAAGGGGGGTTTTAAATTTCCAGCAGTATCCTTGTCTAGGCGAGCACCAACAAGTGCATGCACCCCCACAGACACATGCAGCGACAGGTGACAGGGTCAGGACAAAGTATGGAATGATCACTGATGCATGGGGCACATCCACGGTGTACATGTTGCTCTGATGGTGTCGCCGGTTGTGAGGATATTGTTGTGTGTGATATTCTGCCAGTTCCGCCTCGGTTCACTCCTTTCATTGCTAGGCGCCTACTTATTCCACCTCGCACACCAAACACCCTGTTAACTTTAACACACACACACAGGCAGATGTCATAGGGGTGACGATGTGAATGAGACACAGCTTGACTGCTCAGAGTGTGTGTGTGTGTGTCGGAGTGTGTGAGACTGAGGCCTGCCCCTCTGGTTGATGCAAAGCAGGTGGAAAGATCTGCTGAGCTGGGTGTTTGCCAGCAGCAGGAATACACCTACAGACCCATTTGTGCACATACACACAGAACAAAAAAAAAAAAGTCACTGAAAAAAAAACAAAAAAACAAATTTGATGAGGTGATCCAGACATAAATAATATGCCAGTTTTGTCCTTCACGTTATCACAGACTATCTCTCCTGTGCCTCATTTGCGCAGTGCTCTCCACACGCCATAAATCCTTTATTTCTCTGTTGCGCTGTTATTCTATATTTACATCTATTTGTTATTTGACAGCTCACATCTAGAAAACCTTGAGAATGCTGCGATCAAGGCTGATAACTACAGGTTGCATTTGCACTTTGAAGACAAAACAACATTAATTAGTGAATAAAATGGAAATGCGAGCATCCCGTGCAGACATGCCTCCAAGTTGGGCTGAGCATATGCAGAGTAAGACAACATTTCACACATATTTCCCATCTATAATCTCCCTCTCTTTTCCCTGTGATGACGGCGCGGTGAGAGGTACATAAACAGGAAGCTCGTCTGAATTGATACGGCGCGTTTCAGCCGGTGACAGGTCATCTTTGTACAGGTGGAGTGTAACTTCTCAGCTCCTGCTTAAACCTTCAGGATGCACGCAGCCTCTCTACCCTCCATCTGCTGGTCCCTATGAAGTTTGCACCTGATCACAGAAGCTTTGACTGCAGCTTCTGTCTGTAACACTTCGCAGACATACCTAACCCCTGAGCTGGATCATTAACACACTGGAAAATAAAATGACACGTGTGAAAACATCAACATATTTGAGTTTTTTTTAAACCGTTCAAATTGCTCTTTCAGCCTCCGGGTGCAAGAATTCTGCACATTTATTGGTGAAAAACCAAAGTAGACCTAAAAAATCAAAAACAGTAACAACTAAAATATTCTAAACGATATACCGTACTTTCTGCCATACACGTCGCTTCGCCGTATAAGTCGCATTTATTACGCGTCACTGCTGACCACCCGGAAATGTGGGTCAGTGCTGTGCCAAAAATCGATTGGCTGCCAAATGGCGGCCGCGGGAGAACTTTAACAAGAATTTAACAAGATTAACACTTAAAAACAATTATTTTTTTGCTCGACATTATAGTAAAGGTGTGTCTCAGTTGAACTTTTTCTTAATAAATGCACTCTAATGGTCAAATCAGCTGCATTTCAGCTGGGCGGGGCGGCGAAATGCAGCTGATTTGACGTTTGCTCCAGGAGTTCCGGAGCGAGACAAAGGTGGCTCTGTATGGCAAGTTAAGTGCCTCATTAATAGCTACTTTTA